CTCAAAGTGCCTCTTTCTGGGAGAGCACTTTAAAAATAAGAACTCAAGCTAAAAGATTAAAAATACGGACCACAGGTTTCACAGACACTCTCTATTTGATACCCAATATGTGGCCAGTCAGCACAGTCATTTTCCAGATCTCAATTCCATTGGAAACTGGTGAAACAAATGAAATATGTAGTTCAGTCCCACACTTCATTACTCCTATCATAGCCTCATTTTAAAGTGGCCCTGCTAGAAAAATGGGATAGGCTTAAATATGTTTCAAAATCTCATGGGATATGAGCCTTATTCAAGTAGCTTTTGCTACTTGTCGAGGATCAACATTTCACTCGGTGGGGTCCCTAATATTTTGGCAACTGAGAGTGCAAAGAAAATTCTCCCTTAAAACATAGTAATTGTCAGGGGATTGGCCACCCAGTAGTCTACATTTTTACGGGTCGCTGTCCTTACAGGACAAGTTAAAGAAGCTCTTTGCTACAGGGATCTCACCTCAAGATTGCGAAGCCTGTAAGTTTCTTTTTATGATTAAAACTGAATAGACCTTGCAGTACCCATAGCAGCCTCAAGCCTACATTAAAAAGCCATTGTAATTCCAGCCGCATTTACAATACAAATTCACCCCCCTTCCATATGCCATTTGCTTTAGAAAATGAAGGATGAAGTGGGCGTCTAAAAGGCAAGACACAGTCTACAGTTGTTAAGAGCTGTGTAGCTGATGTGAATGACAATCCCCGTGGGAACAAATTTTCAGCAAACAGAAATAATAATTATCAAATAATAATCACCTAAAAATTCATAATAAGCGGTTCCTGAGTAGCTCAACAACCAATAAAGAAGCTTATGACAGTATGTTCAAGCCCTGTAACCTGGGCATTACTATTTTAAGTCAGGACCATTTCATTTTTGCTTGATCCCCCTAGAATCCCCGTCACTGAACTGGCCAGGCACCACGAGGGCTGGGTGAGTCTGAATCAGTGAAACATTTAACAGGAGCTCCTGGGACTTGCAGCAAGACTGTGAGCTTGCAGTGATGTCAGTGAGCTGATTAACAATGTGCAATTGAAAGGGAATAAGAAAAAAAGATTGGCAATTCCAAAATGTAACACATCCGATCCAAACCACAAGACCACTGTACAAATAATATTTCTATTTAAATCTGGTTTTGAAGCTGAGGTAGGTTTAGCTTTATGCTTGATTAAAATTAGAATACATTTTCTGTAGAAAACGGATACAAAGTAAAAAATATTAAAAATAGTTCAGAATGTGGAAAATAACTGGAATAACAGGAGATGCCTACTAAATAGTTTGAGAATTTATTATTTTACATACTTAAAGATATGCATAATAATACCTGCCTTATCTTTTTAAGTACAGACCATACCAATTATCTTTTTTACTTATTACTGTTATTTCTTACAATATGTAAATTCTAAACATCCACCTCAAATAAAGGGGGTACATAGAACTCATTTTGGCTTAAGGTTTAAAAAAATGCTGTTATTTTCTCTAACATTTGTACTACACTTCAATATTCACCTTACCGGATATGTGTTCAACTTCAACTAGATGATCTGAAAAGCACCATTTCATTATTGCAATTTCACTATGTTCCTGGTTTCTATAGCAACTCCACCTACACTAAAATCAGAAGAAAATATGGTCTTATTATGTGGTCCTTACCAGCCTATCGAATGCTATCAATGCCTACCTACCTTTCCAGGAGCCTCTTTCTGTTTGATACATAAAAGCTTTGCACACATGATAACATGTACGTGAGCATGAAAATTGCTTTTACACCAAATTAATATTTATATACTGCATAAATCCTAATATTTATCACAGTTCTATACAAAACAAACTGATTTATTTCAGGTTTGCTTGCAAGCCTTCATCAGAAGCTGGAAGCACATGGAATTCTATCTTCAAGGTCAATAAGGTTCACATTCTGTTTCGAATATCATATTTTTTCATGATTAGAAAATGTCTATAAAGTTTTTTTTTTTCAAATTTATATACAGGGCAATTGTTTATTACATTTTGTTAAAAAACAATTTTAATGTAAAAAGCTTTGAATTTATTCTGTTTTCTTCTGGTTTGCCTATTTTTCACAAATGAACACACAGTGATTCTAATTCTCAGAAGTTACAGAAAAACAAACATTTATTAAGGATATATATTTTCAGAAATACCTGGCAGCCACAAAACAGTTAGAAGACAACACACTGACCAGCAGATGTCTTCCCTTTCACATCTGCATCTCTATAACAAATCAAGTGTCTACATAAAATTATGTCTTAATGCATTTATTAAAGGCTGAAGCAGGCAGCATATTTGGATATTTCTGTGAGCTGATAGGTGACGACTGTATTAAATTACAGAAACCTACGCAAGCATAACAATCCGACAGACATAAAAACCTTTAATTGCATCATGAACGATATGTGAAGACTGGAGAACTTGCTTAGACTTGGCTCAACTTCCTAATTTTAAAAAAACAGCTAATTAAACAAGGGGATATGTACAATATACATGATTTCATTTCTCAGTCAGCATCTGAGTCTTTTATGTTTTTCATTACTGTCACGGACATCCAAAGGGACTAA